TGTCTCAACTACGATGTAGACTTTCAACTAGATGTGCTTCTTTCAGGCAGGGACTGGTCTCACACACACATTTTATATTCCCCAATCTTCCTCACTCTGTAGAGTAGGAGGAGCCCTGGGCTTACAGTCTTGAGTGTTGTGTGGGGCTCTGCTCGGATCGTCTTCCATCCCCTGAGATCCTAGTTTTCTCAGCCTCAGAACGGGGCGGATGTGCCCACCGGCCAGTAGGTTCGGTTATTCAGGATTCAGCAAGATCACGTGGGAAAGCAGAGCAGCTGGTCCTTTTTAAAGCAAATGTTGATGTTGATGGGTTAGATTGAGGAAAGTGGATGTTTACAGAAAACCATACAGACTAAATTAGAGCACACAGAACCCTGCCACCTCTGAGATAGCCATTGTTTCTGGTGCATTTTCTTCTAATCATTTTTCTTCTCTTCTTTGGTCCTCAGATGGGTTACCCTCAGCCTGGCTGATGTTGAAAGCTTGGTGAAGTTTTAACTTGTTTAAAGCATGCTAATTATAGCGAATTTCTTATTTTTTCAACCAACAGGAGGATGAAATTTTGAACAGATCACCAAGAAACAGAAAGCCGCGAAGAGAGTGAAACAATCTTAAGAACTTGATCTGTGATTTCCTCTCCCTCCCCTTCCCCTGCAAGCGTGGTCCTAGGAGAGGGCCTGGCACACCTTAGGTTGAAACTCAGAAAACCTCCAGACGTCACCATCGACAGGCTCCAGTTGAACACTAGCCCGTGTAATTGTAAACATCTAAGCAGTCCGTAATTGCAGTTGTGACATAAAGGACCCTGTTTCTGTAGAAAGCAAGCATATAACATTAATGGTTGTGAAATGTAACATGAAGCAACTAACTCGTATTTTTGTTTTTGTTTTTAAACATCCTTGTTTTTTAAAATAGAGTAATAGAACTTTGCCAGTCTTTAAAATCTTGGCTTAATTTAATATATTAATCTGTCCATACAGAAATAACACCAACCTTTAGAAATGTTAGGGGGATGAATTGCAGTTTTTATAACCAAATTTGTTTTTTAAGTTTGGTATTACAAAACATTCAGGTGTTCTCTGTCCCTTAAAATGGATAATCATGTTGAAAGTACAGTCGTTACGTGGTTATAATCTTGTTTCGCTTGCTTCCATCACCCAGTTCCTCTTAAGGAAACTGAGGAGATGGACTGGATGGAAGCCCAAATTTATAGAAAGGTTCTGTTTCAGTTGTATTAAAAATAGACATACAGAAAGAAGAAACTTTTCCTCTTGATGTTGGTTAGACCATACCGTGCGTGTGTTCTGTTGCCCTTGGAACAGCTGCGTTCCCAGTCAGTGGAGGAGGTGACATAAGGTGGCACTCGGGCAATCATGCTTCCCAAACTGGGAGAGTCTGGGCTCCAGCCTTCCAGAGCAGGTGGCTGTTTAAGGAATGCTCCCAAGGCACGGGAGCTCCCAAGTAGATGCAGATGTTTTCATCACTTCTTCCACTGTGTTGACACTGTTTCCTTCCCTGTTGCCCCAGGTCCCTGGCTTTCTCCTCTGCTATGCATTTTCTTCACAGCGCAGCTTGCAGTCCGTCGCTGAAAATGATTATAAGCTCCGCATAGTGTTAAGCTTTATTGTGATTAAGTGTATGTTTCTTCTTCCTTTTTTAAGCAGACCCACACCTTTCCAGGGTCAAAGTACAGGATAGAATACTGTCTTTCATTTTTATCCATTTCTTTTACTCTGTGTAAAGACTTGAGAAGTCTGAGCCAGAGGTGAGCCAATTCAGAATTGACTGTAATTGAACATAGGCGAAAAGTATTTATGGGAGGAGTGACATACAGCATGAATTTTCTGAATTTTTTTTTTTTTTTTTTTTTAGCTGCTAAACTTTTTAAGTCTTCATTTGCAGTTCATGTAACCTTGTGTCTTAAATTACATGATAAAGCAGTCCTGTTGAAAAATTTTTTTGTTTGGGTATGTGGTTTGTAGAATTCTTTAAAAAGTGATCTTACATTTGTTTTTTTCATGTGGAATGCAGATGGGTGCTATCAGAGCCTCTCCCCCATCACTATAGTGTAATATCATTATTACACCACACTGAAATGTATTCAGAATTGTTTTAGCTTTATTCTTTCTTCAGAGGTGTTTCAAATGTACCGGTGATACTGTTTCTTGCACTGAATATATAAACACTCCAAAGTGTTTATATTGGGGAGATTTGGGGAGGAAGTATATTCGTAAAAGATGAAGGCTGTATCTGTTTATTTTGTTTATCTTCAATTTTTTACTGGTTCACTGAAATTCTTATGAGGGTGGGATGAATTTTTCTTGCTGTTCAGTGCTTTATCCTTTTCATCTGTTGTTCTGTGGTCACAGTGACCTTAGCTATGTAGCCGACTTTCCCAAATGTATTGAGTGCAAATAAACAGTTACTTAGCAAGACCTGAAAATATGTCTGCAGGTTTCTCCTTGAAGCAAATGTGTGGGATTATTGCATTTCCAGAAACCTGCCTTCACTGACCGTTGGCGTTACATCTCGTGTCTCACTTAACAGTTCCTTCCAGCCCAGCTGTGGAATGACAAGTATAAACTAGAGTGTTCTTTTGCCTTTCCAGGATTATTTAGCAAAGTTTGTTAAAAAAAAACAAAACAAAAGTCTTTTCTTGGTTCTCTTTTTCGCTCTTTGTTGAAGGTGCACTCTTCCGATTAAATGTCTGACACATCAGTGAATGACCAGCAGTGTTTAGCTCTTCAAATGCACTTACATTATAGTTTTACATGCTGGCTGTCTGTCACAGTGTTGTAAAATGCCCACTCCATCAGATGTGTTCCTCGATTTCTCTTATCCACAAAATACTCTCCATTTTTCTCAAATTGTCACGTCACTAAATGGTATTACATTAAAGCCCTGTGTTAAGTGTCTGCTTTTGACTGAACTTCTTCATGGTAACTTTCAGTTCAAGTGTTTTACTGCAGAAAACGTGAATGGTTGAGTATTAGTTCATGTCCTCATGTGGATTTGATCCAGTCAATTCAGTGTAGATTCTGCCGCCTTTTTCTGCTGGATTGGGGGTCAGCAGTTTCTGTTGTATAATAGGGATAGCAGCTCAGAAGGGGGGGGGGAGGCAGTAATTTGAAGATAATTTTTTTTTTTAAGATTTTATTTATTTATTTGACAGAGCACAAGCAGGGGGAGCAGCAGAGGGAGAGGGAGAAGCAAGCAAGGAGCCAGACATGGGGCTCCATCCCAGGACTCTGGGATCATGACCTGAGCAGAAGGCAGACGCTTAACTGACTGAGCCACTCAGGCCACCCCCTCTTTAAAAAAAAAAAAAAGATTTTATGATAATATTCTTTAAGATGTATGGGAGCCATTGAACTTTTAAATTTTTATTAGAGAATGTTCAGAATCAGACTCCATCTTTTACGTATTCTTAAGTATTTCAAGGATGTTTTTGAAAGATCAAAACTTCTTAAATATGTGCTATAGGCTTTTGGATTGCGTACTGGAAGAGAAGTACACAGAGTGTAGTACTCCACTATTATCTCCCCTATTAGAAAATAACTTAATTCTAATGTAAAATACATATGTTTGAAGACTTGGAGAAAAAAAAACTATTGATGTGGCCTTCATGAGCTCTAGATACTTTTGCCTTGGGCCACTTGTATTTTTTACTGCATTTGTATAAAAATAATACTTGAGTAAGAACTCATTTTTTTCCCTTCTGATTTTAAAATATTTTTGTGGGCCCTAGTAAAATGTTAATGTAATAAATGTTTGAGCTGTTGGTGGTCCTGGCACCTCCTGTTTAACTTTTTAGCAATTAGGGTGCCCATGATTGTTTCTCGTATCTCTTGGGCCAAAGCAGGCTTAGGTTACCTAGTTTCAGTACTGAGTCACTCACCGCTCCTGTTTTTCCCCCAGTCTTCCACCCCCTATGCCTACTGGTTGTAATACTAAACGTAATTGTCTCTGGTTGGATTTTGTTGCGTGACTCAGTTTAACCTAAGCCACCATCCTTAAGCGGCAGGCCAGGCTCCCTGATTTTTGGCTGAAACCTCATCCTTTACAGTTCTGGTCCCCACTAACGGAGCTAGACTCTTCTTCACACCCTCTTCACATCTGCTGGGGCTTTGTTTTTAAGTACTTATGAAACTTGAAATTTTTACATTAAGTGGAAACTGAGCCCCAGTGATTCAGAATGGTGCAGGAGGAAGCCTCTTCCAGTCTTCCAGCTCACTCGTGGACAATTCCGACCAATTAGGAGGCCGGATGTAAGGAATGCGGTCGAAAAACAGCTGACACTGAAAAAGCGTGACTACTTTGGAGTTTATGAAAACAACTCAAAAAGGCTGCAGGGGGAGAAAATGGTGAAGCGCCGTAGTGCCAGGTAGCCGTCTGGGTCGGGCAGTTAAACGCTCTGCGGCGCGGACTGCCCCTTTCCTCCGTGGGCCCGGAAGGGCCTACCGGCGAGGGGTAGCCTTTGGGACCGGCTCCTGTCGGTCATACTTGGCCCCGTGCCCTGCACTGAAGCCCGCCCAGGGACTTCTCTCCGCCCCTCACTTGAGAGTTCCTTTTAAACTCCGCTCGGGAGCCCCCGCGCGCCTCCTGCGTGCTCGCCCCCGCCCCTCGGGCGGCCCGCTCTTCCTGCTCTGATTGGCTGCAGTGCCTGCTCATCATCCGTGACGCCGGGGTCGCCCGCCGGGGCCCCGCCCTCTTCCGAGAGCCCTGAAAACAATTTTAAGATGGCGGCGGCGGCGGCGCGGAAAACAATGGGGCCGGGGCGGCGGGGACAGGCCGAAGCCTGAGGTGGGCAGCGAGCCCCGGCCCGGGTCGGGCCGAGCGGGGCCCGAGGAAGAGCCGCCGCTGCGCGCGAGCCCGCTCCGCAGCCCGCGGGGCCATGGCGCGGCCGTGAGGCGGCCGGGCCGCCGGCGGGGAGCGGAGCCCGCAGTGCCAGTCGGCCCCGAGAGGCCCGCCCCGGGCCCGGCCCGTGCAGCCCGCGGCCCATGGTGCTGCCCACCTGCCCCATGGCGGAGTTCGCGCTGCCGCGGCACAGCGCGGTCATGGAGCGCCTCCGCCGGCGCATCGAGCTGTGCCGGCGCCACCACAGCACCTGCGAGGCCCGCTACGAGGCCGTGTCGCCTGAGCGCCTGGAGCTCGAGCGCCAGCACACCTTCGCCCTGCACCAGCGCTGCATCCAGGCCAAAGCCAAGCGCGCCGGCAAGCACCGGCAGCCGCCCGCCCCGACCCCGGCCGCCGCCCCGGCCCCGGCGCCCGCCGCCGCCCCAGCGTCCGCAGCGCCGGCCTCGGCCCCGCGCCTGGACGCCGCCGACGGCCCCGAGCACGGCCGCCCCGTCGCGGTGAGTAGGGTGTGGGGAGCAGCCCCCTGTCCGCGAGACGCTGCTCCTGACGCCGCCCGGCCGCCTTGAGGCTTCCCGGGTGCCCGCAACTCCTCGGGTCTGGCTCGGGGGGGGGGGGGGGAGGCTGACATGGCAGGGACTGAGCGGTTGTCATCTGCGGGAAATGGCACTGTGGCATTTACTTTGGGAGAACATGACCGTAAGGACCTTACTTACGTTAAGGCCCCGGCTGGGGAGGCTGGGGAACGGTGGCTGAAAGGTAGTTCTTCCAGGTTTGATTCCAGGTTTTTCATAACTTTTTGGGGGAACAGACTGGCATAGAGTTACCTCTGATAGTGGCCTCATTTATTCTGCGAATATTTATAAGGTCCTTGGCTCTTTGAAGAGTCCGGGCTTACATATGGAAATAAGTCGATCCGCAGTTGTCCAAATTAAACTGTTAACGGAAAAATCCAAAGATCTTGAGAAATCGTAGTAAAAGGCATAATACTGCTCATTGAGTTGCAGAGAAAGTATTGCTTGTTTAGGCAGCGCAGAAATGTGTGAACTTGTGATTCCAGCAATATTGTTGACGATTCCCGTTTTAAATTTTTAAGCCTCTTTAAAATCTCTGATGATGTTAGAGAATTTGTCGGTTAGAGGTTTACCTCCCCGGAACTGATTTATAGAAGGAAGATAATAAGATTTTTTTTTTTTTGGTTGTTTTCATGGTAATTTAAGGTTTAAAACAAGTGTTACCGGTTTAGTTTGTTCTGTGTGTTTTTTTAAATTTGTGCCTTTATTACCTCTCACCTAGGCTATTGCTGTACGCTTCCCTAACTAGTCTTCAGTCTTTCTTGGTCTCAAATGCTCTGCCCCCACAGGTCCTGTGCTCTGGTTGAATTCTTTTCCTCATTCTCTCCTACACTGGGCTGCTGGACATTTCATTACTAATCGTATGGACTAGTCCAGCCTTCTGAACCTCACTTTTTCCGTCTGTAAACTGTGAAGGTCGTTTAGCTGCTTATCCTCCAAGGTTCTTAAAAGAGTCCAGTGAGTGCGGATGTGAAAATATTTCATAAGGACCCTTCTCCCCTTTCAGAATCCTGCCATCATCCTTCAGCTCGTCTTCTTCTTCTTTAAAGCTGGTTTCTGATCACCCTAGCCCACAATCAGAGTCGTCTTTGTGAAAACGTTTAGAAAAGGTATGGTCTGTGCTGTTTATTTTTAGCACATAGTGGTACTGCTTTAAGTCATGGCTTGCCAACTAGACTGTAAGCCCTGGGAGGCAAGGAGTTTGGCTCAGTCCTGTGTACATCTTAGGCCCTCAGCACATGTTTGTTGAGTGATTGATATTAAACTCTGTAGTACTTTACTCAGTCATCTATCCTCTTACGCACCAACCTCGAAAAGTAAAATGGCTTAATTTCATGAGCCACCTTTACGTACAACTCTTGTTTTAAGGAAAGCCTTTAAGAGTAGTGGGTGGTCATGCCAATTTAAGTAAACAATGAAAGCTCATAAAAATCCTAGTTTTATACTCAAATAGTTGCCTTGAATACCCTGTAGAAGGTATTATGAGTAGTGATTCAATTTGTTTAAAGAGAGTAAGAGCTTAGACCCTCTGTGTTATTTTTAGTCCTGATTTACTGGAAAGAAATGAGGCACGCTGTTTGAAGAGAAAATTCTGAGTGTGTTAGAACTTGAATCCGGCTTGTCTGTCATTCCTTTGGGTGTTAGAGCCTGATCAGATGAGCCAGGTTATGTTGATGTCTTATCACATTAAACTTTGACCCATGGATTTCATGAGTTTAAACTTCAGAGTGGAAGTGCTCTTCCGCCTCCCTCCTAGGAAGGGGGACCCTTTTCACTTCAGTCTACAACTGATTCTAGCTGAGCTCTTTGGCCTTGGGATGGGGTCATAGGAACAGATCAGTGTTAACTAAGAAAACAGTGGTGTTTTCCATTTTAATGGCTTACTCAGTTCAGAGAGGAGAGCGTCCTTGCCTGGATAGGACTTTGACTTGGAGAGAGAGCACAGCTTTGCACAGAGAAATGGAGAGAAGGTGCCTCTTAGTCACTGTTATTTTGGACAGTTCTATATATGTACTTGATCTAATTAATATCCCTTACATAGGGAATATTATTAGTACTTTTCCCCCCCCAAATTTGCTGTTTCATCAGCAGACCATTTGTAAAACTGAAAAGGGATCAGATTTACGATAGAGTTCACCTTCAGGTTTTTTCCTTTCTCAGGATGTCCCACCACCAGCAGTTTTAACCTCTATCTGCTTATTCTGTTGAAGATGGGTAAGAAACAGTGCCTCAGACTTTTTTCTATTCTAATTGTCAGGGAATGACCTTACTGGGTTTTTTTAATACTGTATGTGTATTAAAAACCAGATTGTTGTTGTTTTTTTTTTAAGATTTATTTATTTGAGAGAGAGAGAGCAAGCAGGGGGAAGGACAGAGGAAGAGGGAGAGAGAGAGTTCCCAAGCAGACTCTGCCAGCTGCAGAGCCCAGTGCAGGGTCTGATCCCAGGACCCTGAGATCATGACCTGAGCTGAAATCGAGTCAGACGCTCAACTGACTGAATGAACCACCCAGGTGCCCCCAGGATTGTTTTTTAATGACAGTTAAGATTGACTTCTTTTGGGATGCCTGGGTGGCTCAGTCGGTTAAGCATCTGCCTTCGGCTCAGGTCATGATCCCAGGGTCCTGGGATCGACTGCCGCATCGGGCTCATCCATTTTCTCCCTCTGCCTGCCGCTCCCCCTGCTTGTGCTTTCTCTCTCTCTCTCTCTGATAAATAAATAAATAAATAAAATCTTAAAAAAAAGACTTTTTATTAGGAATGCAAGATTATAGAGAATTACCCAACCACTTTATACAAGCATTCATTCTGTAATGAAAGTAGTCTTATGCAATAGCTTGAACATTTTCTTTTAGTAAAATGCCATATGCCTCATCCCTTTATCCACCATTGTTATGCTTTTGCTGCTTATTCCTTTAGTAGCTGTGAAAGTCTGTGGAGAAATATGACAGTTGCCTGCCAACCATTCGTGGAAGTTGCATTCCCTGCTTAGTTTAAGTGTGAAAACTTTCCCTTTCTCTCTCTCTCTTTTTAATTTTTTATTTGTACATAATTTAAAACTTAGAGAAAAGCTACACAAATAGTACAAAGAACATCTGTACATCCTTCACTTAGATTCTGCCCATATCACCATTGTGTCCCATTTGCTTTATCATTTGTCCACACGCTCTTTCTCTCCTGTCCACATCCAGCCAGCCATCTCTTTCTCTCGTAAAACCTTTGTTCTCTGAACTACATGAGAGCACTACTTGCAAACCTTGCAGCTCTCTACTTGCAGACACCCCAGTGTGTGCCTCCTAAGAGTTAAGAAACTTGTACAGCATTTTAATAATGATTTTGTGGACCAAACAGTGTTAGAATTATGCAGATAACAAATTACTTCCAGGGAGTAGATATTTCTGAACATAAAACAGATATTGTACTGTAATCATGTGGGATAGTTTCAGAGAAAAGATGACTAATGTGGCTTTAGGATCCCATTTCTTCCCTATAACATCCGGGACCTTGTCCTGGCACTCTTTCCTTTTTTTTCTTTAGTATCCCCTTTCCCACCGGGCCCTTCCCTTCAGCTTGAAAACATCGGCAGTTATTCTCCTTTCTTTTGTCTTTTCTCACCCTCAAAATAGTATTCCATCTTTTTCCTTCCTTTGCCCTTTCCCCTTGAACTTCCCATTTACTCATGAGCCCATTGTAATCTGCCTTTTCCCTCTTCTACTCTTCCGAAGTTGCCCCTTTAAAGGGCACCAAAGATGGAATTGCCAAATCAGTGGCTTCTTAGTCATCATTCTTTTTGACTTCCTCCTTCTCAAGGCTCTTCTCTTAGCTTCTACTCTCTTCTGATTCTCTTTCCAGCTTTCTGTTTTTTTTCCTCAGTCTCCTGCTTTCCCTTACTAATTCATGCAACGAGTACTTGAATGCCTACTGTAGGCCAGAGGGAGTTTTAGGCACTAGGAATACAGCAGTGAACAAGACAAATTAAAACTCTGCCTTCATGGAGAAAGAGATTGATAATTTTAAAAATTAATTTTTATAATATAATGCTAGGAAAAAATGAAAAGAGTAATGTGATACTGGGTGACTCACGGTAGTAGCTTTAGATAAGATGCTCTTTGGGCCTGATTGACAGGAGGTCATCAGTCAGCTGAAAGTCTCAGAAAAGAACATTCCAGTTACAGAAAACCACCAGCACAAAGTCTTCTTCTGAGCTTGCCTGCAGAACAGAAAGGAGGTCTATGTGGCTGGAGCCGCATGGCAGGTAAGCAGCTAGTAGGAGAGGTAGGTAAGAAGGACCAGATCAAGTGCCCTGGGAAGCAGTTAGCAGGGTTTTAAGCAGAAGCATGTCTTATGTTTTAAAGGCCATTCTGGTGCTAGGTGGAGAATGCTTGGGGTTGGTGTGCACAGAGTGGATACAGTTAAGGCTTTTGGGGTGGTCTAGACTGGGGCTGGAGGTAGCCGTGGCGACGGAGAGGAAGAGATGGCTTTTGTATAGCTCCCGAAGGCAGAGGTGACAGGGCTTGGTGATGGGCCAGATGGAGTACGTGCGGGGGAGGGGGCAGGAGAGAGGGGGAATCAAGGGGGAATTCCGAGTTTTTTGGCTTGAGAGGCTTTCTTTGCGTGGCTTTTAGATATTAGTATTACGCAGGTTACTCTGTCCTCTACTCTTTCCACTCAGTTGTGTTTTCCTGGGTCATGTTACTGTTTCATGGCTTCATCTACTATCTGTGATAATAAGATTATCCAGATCTTTTTCCAAGTTTCAGATCCATATTTCCAGCTGTCTACTGGACATTTCCACTTTTATATACCACATATCCAAAATGGACTCTCCCTTTTTCCTGCCAATCTTATATTCCTTCTAAGTATTTTCCCTAGTCCAGTCGTCCGAAGCAGAAACCTGTGAATTGCTCACTACTTTCCTGCACTTCC